TTCGCATGTGTGAAGGTTTATTATATATGTATTAACTTTGTCCTTGATTGTTTTATATCTTAGCATGTTTAATTCACCAAGTTATGGTGAAGGCTTCGAAACATATTTAACTCACTAGTGAGCTTCTTCATCGATTAATATCACACAGGAATTTTGCAAGATCTCTATTGAGCGTAGGTAGAGAATAATGTGTTTCCAAGAATTAGAATTTTTCCATTTTTTTCAAAAGTATCGGTTTTGTACATCCAATATTTCAAAAGAAGAGCGATGAAAAAACTTATTTTTTTTACTGGTTAATAACCCATGAAGTTCACTACAAAACATGTTCTTATCGTTTTCAAATCCTATGCTTCCTTTATTTTCTGCAATTGTTCTATAAATGGTCACTCTAGTGACCAACGTGGGAGGTAAAGGGTTAAGTTGTAAGAGTATCATTAAGATAATAATGAAATAGTTCTTTTTCTTTGTATAGAACAAGATCTTGTTCATCCAATGCAAGTAAGTTTGAAATATTAGATTTAAAAATAATTTTTAATAATATGTATATATATATATATATTTAGATAAAAGTATTAACAAATTTTATTCAAAGTTGGATTAATGAATCTGAAAAACCATTAGTTGATCTTTATCATTATTTACGTATGTGTCTATTCTTTTTTTTAATATAAGTCATTTTATTTTTCCCTTACAATAGATTATTATTGTCAGGCATTATGTTTACAAATTTTATTTGAACAAGTAAATATTAAATATTATAATTTTATTTCAAATAAATTTTCATTTATTCAAGGCTCATCGAATACGTAATCAAGGTGCAAAACAAAAAGATTTACATATATCTGGTTATAATTCATGTAAAAGTTTTAGTATTGAATATTGGAAAGATTATACTACTAATATTAATAATAATAATCAACAAAAAAAACAAATTCCTAGTGGAAAAAATATGGGTATACAAAAAAAAACCAGCTATTGTTTCATTCTGAATATTATTTTAAATTATAGATATTGGTATGACGATTGTATGTGATGATGATGGAAAATTTCAAATACAACATTGGCCACCTTTACCTATTGATGATACGGTTGCTGTTTTAAAAATTTTAGGAGTAAGATTTGTCTTTGGTTTATATATATATATATATATATCAGATGAGATAGAAAAATGCTTTGCTAATGAGGAAACATTCCTAGATGCCTGTGTCCTTTGTGAGCTGATCTTTTGTCCATTGGTGCTTCTTATCGAATTGTTTTGAATTGGTTAAGTATTTTCTATGTACATGAAACTAATAACAAATACATTTTGGTCACTATTAAAAGGTGAGAGACTGTAAATATTTTTGAGAGTGAACTTAATGATAAATTTCAAAATTTCTTGAAACTTTATCATCATTTTCTCATAGAATAGAAATATTGTACTGCTGAATAGTATAGACTCGGCTTCATATGAAAGTCATCAAGATGAATAGTTTATGTTCTAATGGAAATGGTATTGAAGAAAAAAGTATAATCTAGTTATCATTAAGTTCACTCTCAAAAAATATTTACAGTTCC